CTTCTTGCTAGGAATGCTGCATATGTCTCTGCCCATACGAGGATGGAGTAGATCTTCACGCTCTCCCTTGTAACCATCATTTCCACACAACCTGTATTGTGAAATGGCTTAAGATGAACGCAACTTGTCCACTATGCAAGTTCAACATCCTCAAGGGGAACGAACAAGTTTGAGCAGTAGGTAAACAAAAATTCTAAAAAAAAAACCTTTGGTATGAATTCATGTGCCGACTTTTGCCAATGTATAGAACTATGAATGTTGGCATCTCTCTCTCTCTCAGCAATAGTTGCACTGTAATTAGTTGAGATTTATACCATGTTTTTGCTTTTTTTTACACATTGTTTTTGCTCCTTAGTCTCATTCTCGAATGTTGGGTTGTAGTATTACCTGGTATTGTAAATCATTTTTTTGTTTGTTTGGTTTTTTTAATAAATGATTTTGAGTGCAGTGTTCCGCTGTAATTGACAGGAGGAAGGTCATCTAAAGTTTTGTATGTATATGTTTTTGTTCAGCCTTACTGACAATCATCATGTTCAACTCTGATTTTGAAACTTTGCCAGCTCCATTTGTCCGTGTGCCACTGGGAGTATTTTCACTATTTTGTGATTGAGACTGAAGAGTAATACTGTTATTAAAAAAAATAAATCAAAAAAATCTGGCCAACACAATTTCCGAGGAATGGGAAGTAGTTACGGAGTATTTATTACTCCGTAATTATTTTGTCCAATGAAAAGTAGTTAGAATTTGTAGTGTTGTGGGCCTTGTGGCTAAGGCCTAAGAAGTAGGCCCACATTTTTCAGCTGAAATGTTGAACCCAACGCCGCTCCTGCCGCAAATTATGCTGTGCAACCTATGCACCTTGCAAGGTGCATACGGTTGCAAAACAGTGCTGTTTTAGTAAAAAAAAATGCGCATCCACTTAAAGAAAGAATCAGGTTCGATACTCGGCAATAATATTTTTATATATCTCGAAATTCATAACTATATATCCATAGTAAATGAATGAAGTAAAAATCCACAATGAATGAATGAATAAAGTAAAAGTCCACAATGAATGAATGAATGAAGTAAAAATCCACAATAAATGAATGAATGAAGTAAAAATTCACAATGAATGAACTAAATATCTACAATGATTGAACTAAATATCCATAAATTCATAACTATATATCCAGAAATTCATAACTATATATTCATAAATTCATAACTATATATCCACAATGAATGAATGAAGTAAATATCTACAATGAATGAACTAAATATCCACAATGAATGAACTAAATATCCATAAATTCATAACTATATATCCACAAATTTATAACTATATATCCAGAAATTCATAACTATATATCCACAATAATGCTATTGCTGAGAATCGAACCTGAATTTTTTTTTTTTTTAAGTGGGACGTGCGTTTTTAGTCAAAACGGCGTCGTTTTGCATCGTATGCACCATGCGCATGGTACATTCGGTTGCACGACATAACTATTGCGCTCCTGCTTTGGTCAAATATCTGTGTTTCTCGACCGTAAGGCAACCAATATTTGAGAGTTATTACCTGATTTCGTCCCCAGAAAGATTTGAGATAAAGTCTACGTTTCAACTATGGGTCAAAGTACAATTACTTCTTTAAATTAAAAAAGGTCTAGCGACCGCTTCTTCGTCTTGTTGGACGGAGAAGTTGGCATGGCTTCTTTGCCTAGTTGGACAGAGAAGTAGGTCATGGCTTTTTCGTCCAACGGGATGGAGAAGCAGGCCCTGACTTCTCCAATCAACTGCACAAAGATGTCGGCCTGACATAATTTTATATCTAGTATTCCTAAAATTGCTAGACTTTAAGATATGTCACATTTTTTTTTTTTTTTGTGTATGATATTTAGTATTCTTAGCACTGCTAGACTTAAAGAAACACATGACGATCTAAAACCCTTTAACGAGATACATTATTCTCCGACCTAACTATCTCAAATTGCAAGTTATAAGTCAACTTTCAAATTTAAAAGAGAAGCTACATAATTCAACAAATTTTCTCTCTTCCTAAATATAAGTATTGGATTCCCTTATTACATCTTCTTCATCATTCGTATACAAACATCACAGATCCATTATTTTGATATTTAAACTGAAAAAAAAAAAAAACACACACACACACACAAAGCTAATAGATTCTTCAATTCCTAGAATATTTCTTCTAAAAACAAGACTCCAAAAATGACCAAAAATGGCGGGGACACAACAAAAAATATTAACACGTAATTGGAAGCAAAACGAAAAAGAAAAGATGATTTGCCTAATAAGATAAAAAAAAGTAGAAAGAAAGAAAGAAAGAAAGGGACTTATCTTCTACATGGCATGGGATATATAGCAGAGAAATTTAAGGGTATGAAAGAGATGATATGAGGTTAAGAATTAAGAAAGGAAAAAATGGAATTGACTCATGCCTGTTTTTGCTCCTTAATCCTATAATGGATCACACTCAATGTATATTCAGTGGGGTGCGGAAATCACAAAAAGTTTGAAATGGAAATGGGGTAGAAAGACTTTAAGTAGTGGAACCAAACAAAAGTTGAATTAACTTTTATGGGAAATGACAGCTTTATTTCTGTTCTTTTTTAATGGATTTTTTTAATGTTGCTTTATGATTATACCGAGTATTATATATATATATATATATATATATATATATATATATATATTGATAGATTGATAGATAAAAATTATAATTAATTAAGTATATACATTTATATAATACATTATATTTATTAAATAAATATAAATATTATATAATGTGCAGAGGGTATTTTTGGTATTTGTGATATAAAAGTTATTTCCAAGGGCATGGGAATATCTAATACCAAGGCCCGCTTAGAAATGACTATTCCCCTTGCGAAGGTAATAACTCATTCTTAGACATGTTATCACATGACAAAATGATCTAACCAAACGATGGAATAGGTCTATTTCAAGGAATGTTATTCTATTCCTGACCTATTCCATGAACCAAACATGTCATTAATTTGTCCCAAACAAAGATTATCCTCAATTATAAAAAGAATAATAATATAAAAATCAGGGTTATATATATATATATATATATATATATATATATATATATATATATATATATAACATCTTGCTAGCATTCTTTTGATTTATGAAAAAACCTACATATACTATCTAAATGCGTGCTCTGCGTGAAACTTGCTTTCTGGCCTTAATTGGCAAAAGACCAAAAGAAAGTAAATAAATATAAAAGTCTCATATTTGACCGACTCAAACTAAGGAAACCATAAACTTTTTACCACTTGTAATTGTATTAACAGTTAATTTACCAACTGTCCTAAACTATTGAGTTTGAGTGCAATAATATTCGGTTGCCATAATAGATGAAACCATTGTCATTATCATAATTATAATTATAATTATCACCATTATTATTATTATTATTAAAATAATTATAAAAATAAAAAATGTTATCAACAATTAAAATTTATATATATCCTTGGGCCCCAAAGCTTGTACTTTACTTCCCAAATGTTATTATACATTGTCTAATCACCAAAATCAACATGCTTGCTTCAAGAAATCATTAAAGAAAATGGATAGAAAAACGTTCATGGAGGAAAAAAAAAATATTATTAATAAAGATATGTAATAAACTCCTTTAATTTAATTAATAATAAAATAGGAAAAAGCACGAGATAAGGTGGCCAGGTGGGGTGGGTACATGTCCTTTTTCCTACCAAACATGGAGTAATTAAAGTGGATGAAGAAAATGCAATAAACCATTGGGCCTACCAATATAATTAAGGATAATTTCACTTTATTATAGTCAAATTTAGATTACATGCATAATAACAAATGTTTTTTTACATTAAAAAAAAAACATGTTACATCATCTCACGTTAACTTTATAGATATTATTGTTGATAGAGTGGTATTTAAATTATGATAAAACATTTTCTCATGAATTAACTTTTACAGTATAGTTAGTATTTTGGTTTGACTATTGCAATGATACCTCTAGAGCTACATAGTCTCGATAAGAGCTCATACTATGAGAGAAAGAGCTACATAATGCCGAGAAAAGCCAAAGAGACAAATACACAAAAATGACATAAAGCTTCAATATGAGACTTTGTGAGAAGTTAACCCTTCGATTCAAACAAGAATTCGTCTCTTTATGAAGTTAGTAAAATGATTCCAATTTTTGAATGAGAATTATTTTAGTTATGCCACAAACTGATAAACATAAAGACGGTAATCATAATCCTAGTTTGCCACAATATATTCACTTCTTTATAAGATCGTGTTCACATGATAACAATATCTAATCTATCCATCTATGATGGCTGAAAATTAATGAAAAATCGTAATGTTTTTGTAATTACAATCATACATTTAGAAATGTCACTCAATTTAGAAATGAATTGTGTGTGCACGAGAAGACACTACATGATTCCCACCACCTTCCTCCTCCTCCATGTCATCATCATATTCATCACTTGGTATTGACGTGTTTGGCTATGAGAAAAATTACGTAATGAACCTTCTAATCGCAACTCCAATATATATATATATATATATATATATATATATATATATATATATGAGCAATATTTGGTGCGACTACTATTTCCCGTGTAGTCGTTCAATTGTGCACTATTATGTATGCACAAATGTATTATTACATGTTTGAAAATGTTTTAAGGTGTAATATATTTACTTAGCCCCACTCAGCTTGTAATATATATATATATATATATATATATATATATATATATATATATATATATATAATATTCCGTTATATATCAAAATTTATACGGAATACTTCCAAAGTTGTTTTTTTTTTTTTTTACTCTAACACATATAAATAAATAAAAAAAAATCTATGAAAGAAAATGAAAGCTTTTTTTGTTTTTTTTTTTAATTTTTTTTTTATTACACATAAAATAAAATTGAATATCCTCCCATGGGAATGGGGTATTGCAAAATATATGTTCCTGTGAAATGACCGCGAAGGTTACAGCTTCACATGTCACGCCGTCGCTGGCCATCAAAGTTTTGAACCGTTAGAGAGAACGCAGCAGCCTCTTCTGCGACTTCTCGTACCTTGAGAAAAATCGCGCACTGTTCTTCTCCCTCTCCGTCTCTTTCTTTCCATATCAGAACAAACACAAAAACCAAAAGCAAAATATAACAAAGAAATTTCGATTTTTCAATCAATCAATCAATCAATCATTTTTGGGAAATTTTAATCAATCCTCGATCCCGCACTGTTACGTGCTTCTATTTTCTACATGTGTATATGACTACGTAGATTGGGGACGAAGGGATGTTTCGGTTCCTGCAAGAGAAGATCAGGAAGCGGATTTGATTTTCTCTCTAGGGTTTTGTAGGCATTTTTTTGGGGGGCTATGTCCACTGCGAAGGCGTCGTCTGTGATCCCGTCTGTGGTTCTGAGGAGCATCTCCGATAAGCTCTACGAGAAGCGCAAGAATGCGGCTCTCGAGGTACCATTTCGGATTTTTTTTTTTTTTTTTTGGTGTTTGTTTTTACTTGATGGGATTTCGAAAGCTGTGAGTTTCCGGTAGATTTTACGTTGATTTTTTGGGTTTGATTCGTGCAGGTGGAAGGGATTGTGAAGCAATTGGTAGCGGCGGCTGATCACGACAAGATTAATGCCGTGATCCATTTGTTGACCCATGAGTTTACCTACTCTCCCCAAGCAAATCACCGGAAAGTAAGTTTTGCATTCAGTTTGCATTTATGGTGGATTTCTGTTTTGTGTAGTGACGGTTGATTTTGTGTGGGTTCTTGGTTTAGGGAGGATTGATAGGTTTAGCTGCCGCAACTGTGGGTTTGACTACTGAAGCAGCACAGCATCTTGAGGTGGGCAATGATGCATTTTTCAAGTTTATATATAATTCTCACATTTTGGTTAATGTTTATGCCAGGCTGTTTATGACATTTTAGTAAATGCATTGATCTTGGTGCCTGTTTTGGTATTTTTAAGATTGTATAACATATTACATTGGTGGACAGTGATTATACCCAGCGAATGGTTAAGGTCATGCTACACTTTTGTTGTCTAAGGAAAGGAATACTAATAGTAACCTTTGAAAAATTAATGATTCTGATGCCATTTGAGCAAAGAGTAAGTCTGTAGGATTAGCAACTCATGCTGTAAGTTAAAGGGCTGGGCTTACAGAGTACTAGAAACTATTCTAGAAGTGTTCATATCTGCAGTAGGAAGATCACTAGACTTTTATAGTAAAGTACTTTTATTCAATTTTAATTCGTTGATATTGGCATTCGTCGATATTGGCTCTCAATAATTTGAATATTGCATATTCATTCATTTTCCATATTTCTAAATAAACCTAACTCAGACTTCCTCTTTTAGGTATTTTCTTTCCATGCTTGGAATGGACAGAAAAATCATTTCTTTCTATTTTTAACAGGTGGATTCAGGAACTTTGGTGATAGTGGCAATTCAAACACAATGTTAAGACAAAACTATAAGTCAGATTTAAGTACAAGTGTTTTTCATGTGTTTTTTAGTCCAAATAATATTATGGGTTCAAAATGTCACGGACTTGTTCCTTCTAATGACGTCATGTGTGGTCTTAACTATTCTTTCCCTCGCAATAGCTAAGTCAGCCTCGATCGACCCTCGAAAGTGATGCTAAGTTGATGATGGGATGGCTAAGGAAAAACAAGAACTTCTCAACGAAGATTAAAAAAGAACTCAAAAACTTTGTAAGGAACTCGGATTACTTCAACTCATGGATGGATACAAGTGAGCCCCATGAGGGGTATTTATAGTCATTCCACCTCCTCAATGGAAGGTGGAGATTTACTTGATCTAATGGCTAATAATCTAGCTCTAGAACCTTCTCTAAATCTCTACGCAACTAAGAGGATTCTATAGGGTTCTAGAATATTCTAAGGATCTCTACAACTACTAGTATTATATACATGCTTCTAGAAAATTCTATAAACTATGGGAAAGTTCAAGAAAGGTCTAGGAGGATGTAGGAAACCTCGGGAATTTGTAGCAAAGTGCCTCGTGCTTTACAAAAACCTCAATTTTAGGAAAGTGTAGACTTGTGCAAATTGCTTTAATTTCAAGTTTCTTCAATTTATTTTTAAAACTTGGAAAAAAATTTGGGCAAGTGCCCCCACAGCTTATAATGTAATTCCTTCACTACCATTTTTCTGATGGCATTTTGTCATCTAGACGCTAAAGTTCTTCCCGGACCATTCCTTTATAGATGAAGCCAAAAAAATGCTAATCTTTTTTTTTTTTTTTTGTTTTTGTTTTTGTTTTGTTTTGTTTTGTTTTTTGTTTTTTTGTTTTTTTGTTTTTGTTTTTTTTTTTTTTTAAATACTGCTAATATAGCTTATAAGTATATAACTATGATGGACATATATTGTATGTTGCTGGAACTAGTCTGGTTGTAGGCAGTGTCAAGATTTCTTCTTAGTGTGGTCAGCTTTAGCTTGGTTACCATACTATATATGTTAAACATATGTATTCATAGCATATTGAAATGAGTTAATCTCTGCTAATTAATGGAATTTCTATAGTTTGTATAATTTTGAAAATTTGCAGAATAGTAATTCCAATATTCATTATTGACCCCACTCCTTTTTTGTTTCCAAATTTTGAGTGGGGTCAAATTATGATAATTGATATCTAAAGGGCTAATTTGCAAAACTTTAAACAAAGGGCCTTGAAATATCCAGTGGCACCTGACTATACTGGTAATAATACTAATACATTTGAACTACATCTACATGAGCAGTTGTCAGCTGCTGCCTCATAACATTGTTTTATAAGTGGGTGTGTGTTGCATAAGAGAAAATTTTCCTCTTGATGGGTTTTATATCTCTTCTGCATGTGGTTTGCCAGAAAATAGTACCACCAGTCCTCAATTCCTTTTCTGATCAAGATAGCAGAGTTCGCTATTATGCTTGTGAAGCCCTGTATAACATAGCCAAGGTGAGGGAAAGAGTATTGATTTTATGCCTCTTTATATCATCTGATTTTTGTATTTTTCACCTCCTTTTTATGATTTATGATGTCTTGCAGGTCGTAAGAGGAGATTTTATTGTGTTTTTCAATGAGATCTTTGATGCTTTGTGCAAACTCTCAGCAGACTCAGATTCCAGTGTGCAAAGTGCTGCACATCTTTTAGATAGACTTGTGAAGGTATGAGTTAGTAGTCATATGGCCTTTTTGAAAGGTTTCTTCCTTGAAGCTATTTATGGAAGGATGCAGGAATTATAAAATTATTAATATTATAATATACAATAAAAAGGATACAGTGAAGCAGACAACCAAATTTGATTCATTTATTAAATCTGATAAGTCATATAATATAAAATTCTGGGTGAGAGATTGTATATTGGCTTAGGTGTTTCAATTCAATAATGGATGATCCATTAAAGTCTATTCTGGGAGCTAGTTATCTTGTCTGGAGATTGATATAAAGTATGTGAAGAAGAGATATAGAGTATACACTTTTTGTGATCATCAAAGTTTAGGTTAGATATAACTTACTGGTCATCTATGTTTAACAACTTGAAAATCGTGACTAATGTTTTTATTTGATTTCAATATCTTCACTGCCCTAATTTCTGGTACAAGTTATTTGGTAAATTTCTGTTATTTAGGTATTTTGATCACACTAAAAATGAAACCCAAACCAGAATTTCAAAAATTATCCTTACCTCAGTCTGTTGCGCCTCTGTGCAACACTCGTGTTTCCTAAGATTGCCAGAAGTGTCATAGAGAATTTGGATGTTGTTGATTCTGAACCAAATCAAAACATTAATAACTGTTTCCTAAGTTCTTAAACATTGATGACCATATTGTAATTTAGCTCAAATTTTGATGACTAAAAACCTAAGGTTTGTATAAGCTTGGAAAAGAAACATATGATAGTGCACCCATACAAAGGTGTTTGATGGGTTTCAAGGAAAAGGGAGTATCGCTAGTGGGGTTATGGGAAGCTACCTGCTGGATAATGGTGTTCAAAGTGACTAGAGCTGAAGTTGCTTGGGCTATGTTTTCCTGGGGTAAATAGGGCTACATGGATTGTGTTCATTGTCTAGTGCTGGACGGTGTTTTCAGTAATTACTTAATTTGAAAATGGGTAGAGCTAAAACTGAGCAGATGCATTTTGAGTGCAACTAACAGTAGAAAAAATAGTTTGACTTGGATGGAAAGAATAATACTCAAATTGCATGTATTTATGATAACTTGGTTTTACATTCCATAAAGACTGAAAGTTTGATGGTGTAAAATAACAAAGGAATAAGGGTCAAATAGGCCATCGAACTACACACAAAAATACAATTAGGCCACTGAACTCAAAAAACATGCAATTGGGTCCTTGAATAGCGCAAAATAATGCAATTAACCCAAAAGTGACCTACTTACCTGGAGTGGAGGTTATTTTATTAAAATAATACTTTTTTATTATATTAAATAACTGTAAATAAATAAAATAAAAATAAAATTAAAAAAAAAAAAAACGCATCGTCTCCAGGCCGCCGGAGACGATGCGTTTTCCGGCAGCCTGGAGACGTTCCATGCCGGAGAAGAAGGGATGACTAGGGACGTCGTCCCTTCTTCTCCGTAATAGTCCTTCGTCTCCACGCCGGAGACGAAGTCCTTCGTCTCCAGGCCGGAGACGAAGGGCTCCCTTCGTCTCCAGGCCGGAGACGAAGGGACGTCTTCGTCTCCAGGCTGCCGGAGACGCTTCGTCTCCGGCGGCCTGGAGACGAGGCTTTTTTTGTTTTTTTTAATAAATTTTGTTATTTAGAAATATTTAATAAAATAAAAAATTATTATTTTAATAAAATAACCTCCACTTCAGGTAAGCAGGTCACTTTTGGGTTCAATTGCTTCATTTTGCGTTGTTCAGGGACCTAATTGCATGTTTTTTGAGTTCAGTGGCCCAATTGCATTTTCGTGTGTAGTTCGATGGCTAATTTGACCCTTATTCCAATAACAAATTAAGGCCAATTCGATGAAGTGTATAAGCTTGATCAAAATTTTATTTGATGATAGAGTTCCTGTAAAGGTGAAAAGAAAAATTCTATGTAGCTGAGAGGATTAGGCAATTGAAGATGTGGATTGGATATGGGAAAGATGTGCTAGGTCAATGATTTTAGAATGACAATAACATCAGCAAGAGGTGGGAGGGAGAGTGTAACACAAAGAAATAAAATCATAATCTATGAGTTAGGCATGGGTGCCAGTGCTAGAAAGTTTGATGTTCATTCTTTTTATTAAAGAAAGTTGGGTGTTTTACTCTGTTCTCCTTCCCCTCAATTGCATTCTGCTGGATCAAACGGTTTTTTGGTTGGGTAAAAACATTGTGACTTGAAAGTGCTACCTTCAATACAATGCAATGGATTCTGTACTCTATCTAGCAATTATTTTTACATTGTTTATATATCCTGACATGCAATGTTCTCCTCTACCTCCATTAAATGCAGGATATTGTCACTGAGAGTGATCAATTCAGGTGTGGTGAACTTGTTCCTATGTCTTATTGCTCTTTGAGTTCAGCAATATGACATTGAACAGTTTCAGTTTTTTTCTGTGTCAGCATTGAAGAATTTATACCATTGTTGAGAGAACGGATGAATGTCCTCAATCCTTATGTGCGGCAATTTTTGGTCGGGTGGATCACAGTATTAGACAGTGTTCCAGATATAGATATGCTTGGTTTCCTTCCTGATTTCCTTGATGGTATTGACACCATTCTCACAGTTTGAGGATGACAATTTTGCATGTGATTTTGTTTTATTTTTTTAACTTTTAGTAACTCACAGACGTGATTTTTCTTGCTCCACTCAACTGCAGGTTTATTTAATATGCTAAGTGATACTAGCCATGAAATACGACAACAGGCTGATTCTGCTCTTTCAGAGTTTCTTCAGGAAATTAAGAACTCTCCAGTAAGAATTTTCATCTTGAAGAAAAATGAACTTTTCGGTTATGGTGGTGAACATTCATTTTATGGAATGTGGAATCTTGCAAGTTGCTTTGTATCTTCTGTGCTTGTTTGGCTAAATATTTGGGGCTTATCTACTCCAATTGTCAGAAGCTATGCCAAACACTAAATAATCCAAAGTTAAGGTTATTAAAAATGTTTTTCTATTGTGTATCCATGGTCACCAATTAAGAGATTTTTGTAATTTCAACAAACACTAGGTCAACTATGAAATTTCATCTATGAAAAATTGCTACAGATATGTTGATGATCAATATTTGACCATGTTACGTGCTTAGCTTTAGATATGTACCAGATGAGAAAATAACAAAGATTATCATTCACCATTAGTAGTAACAAAATGTTTGTGCTTCATAGAATAGGGGCCCATCCGCTAGGGATGGCATACTTGTTGCTCTCTTTTTGGTAAATATATGTTGTGTGGATTAGCGGCCCAAGTTTTGTGTTGGGAGAAAGTAATTGGACAGTTTTGTTTATGAAAAGAAAATAGTACAATGTATATTGACTAAGTGGCAATCTCTGGGATTACCTTATATTTTCCGACTCAAAAAGTTTTTGCTTTAAGTCTGTAGATTATGGTCGTATGGCTGAGATATTGGTGCAGAGGGCTGCTGCACCTGATGAATTTACTCGGCTGACAGCTATCACTTGGGTAAGGATACTAGAACATGCTTTGCTGCATGTTTTGTTTATATTGATGTCTTTATAGTTTATATGCATTGTTTAGCTGGGCTGGTGGGAATTGTGATCTGTTACACATGCTTCGCTGCATGTTTTGTTTGTATTGATGTCATTATATGCATTGTTTAACTGGGCTGGTGGGAAGTGCTATGTGTTACTTTTTCTCCCTATGAATCAGTGTACAATTGCACTACCTTACCTTGCTTAAGTTGGTTTCAACACAGTCTTTTCTGTTCAGATAAATGAGTTTGTAAAACTTGGTCGGGATCAACTGGTTCCTTATTATGCTGATATTCTGGGAGCAATTTTGCCTAGTATTGCTGATAAAGAAGAAAAGATACGAGTTGTAAGTTAATATGTTCCTTTCGTTTTTAATGGAGATTTCTGTGATTTTTTTTTTTTTTTTTTTCAGTCATATTACTAATAGTCTGTGTATTGCTTCCTTCTCATCATGAAAATCTTAGTTACTTTTCCCATGTATTATTCCTTCTATCTTGTTCTTCTTTTCAGGTTGCTTGTGAAACCAATGATGAACTTCGATCAATCAAGGCTGTTCCATCTGAGGGATTTGATGTTGGAGCAATTCTAACCGTTGCTAGGAGGTATAGATGTTTTAGAGAGTGAAATGCTGGTTTCGCTTTTGGATTTTATTCCTTTGAGTCTCTCTTGCCTAAAATGTCACCATGTGGAAATATGGAATTATTGTTCTTATCCATCTGTGGTCTCCGGGTGTTTTTTGCCATTAGTGATATGGCATTCTGTGATAATGAGCTCTTTGTTTGGATCTCTATGTCAGACAGTTGTCTAGTGAATTTGAGGCAACACGGATCGAAGCATTGCACTGGATGGCAACCTTACTAACAAGACATCGCCCGGAGGTAATTTGGAAATCTTAGCTTGCATTTTTATTTATTGTTATGGCATTATGCTCCTAAAGGAACCTGGTGCCTATTGGGTATGGGAGCACTATAAGCTTATACTTTGACATGGATGCTAATGCTATATGGATAGACTCATTTGATAAGCATATAACCCTTCTATGAGCAAATGCATCTCAAATTTATGATGCTTCAGAATTCATGCTTCTTGCACAAGATATTATTTAAACTTTACCTATATTTCACAAGGAACTGTAATTACATGATTAATGAATTATCTCCTAGAAGACTTGAAAGAGGTTAATGAGCGACTTTTGGGCAGGTTTGCTATGCTTTGTTAAACAAAAGAGAATCTTCTATTCCTCCTGGGATCCTGTCACTATTTCAGCCACTGATATGGAATAATGATGCCTTGTAATCATGATTTTTTGTACATGACATGATTTGCTCAACAAATTGACTTAATTATGGTTCTGGGTGTATCATAATATTAGAGTTGTTTTAGCTTCATGATGAGCTTGCCTAGCTAGGAACACTATGATATGAGCTTGGAAATATTCTCCATATCTGCTTCACATTTTCAAATGATGCAATTTTATGGAATATTTTTTTGGATTTTGACAATTTTGATTAAGGCAGTATACAGAATCTTCAATCTCAATATATTTTTCATTGTCGCTTTTACAACACTGGGCGAGATAAGCATTCACTGCATAGTTTTATTTTTGAAACAGGTCTTGGTTTTTCTAAATGATGTTTTCGACACCCTTCTAAAGGCTCTCTCAGATCCATCTGATAAGGTATATTCTTCTACAGTTGTACTGCTCCCCTTTCCGGTTTTGTCCTGATTATATTGTTAAGTTGCTGATGTCGTTTTTATATCTGATGGTCAGTGTAATGTTAGATATTGTTGAAAAGGAAGCTAAAAGGAACCTGAACATCTTCTTGTTATTCCATCTTACCAAGAACAACACATTACAGGACATTATATAGGAAGATAACAAGTATTGGGAAGGGACATAAAGGGTCTTCCCAAGGAAAAACTATTCAACTCCCAAAGACTTAAAAGCATAATAAATAACCCTGCAGAATAGGCTGCTCATATTCCAAGATAGGCTGCTCATATTCCAACACTCCCCCTCAAGCTGGAGCGTATAAATCAAATGCTCCCAGCTTGCTACAAATATACCCAATTCTAGGTCCACGAAGAGATTTGGTGAGAACATCAGCAAGTTGATCGTTTGACCCAACAAATGTGGTAACAATGACTCCGGATGCAACCTTCTCGCGTATAAAGTGACAGTCAACCTCAATATGTTTGGTCCTTTCATGGTAGACAGGATTGGAGGCAATATGTAGAGCTGCTTGATTGTCACAAACAAGTTTCATAGGTCCAAGCTTGCAGAAATTGAGTTCTGTGAGAAGTTGCTTAACCCAAATTAGTTCACAAATCCCTAATGCCATTGCTCGATATTCTGCCTCTGCGCTTGACCGTGCAACCACATCTTGTTTCTTGCTTTTCCAAGAAACCAAATTCCCTCCAAATAGGACACAATATCCTGATGTCGATCTCCTATCCCAAGGACACCCAGCCCAATCTGCATCTGTGTAACCAACAATTTCTGTATTTCCATGATCTTTATAAAGTAATCCTGTACCTGGGGATCTCTTCACATATCTTAAAATTCTGATAGCTGCATCCCAATGGCTTTGGCATGGCTCTTGTAGAAACTGACTAACAACGCTTACAGCAAATGAGAGATCTGGACGAGTGATAGTCAAGTATAATAGCTTGCCGACTAATCTTCGGTAACTGCTTGGGTCGGATAGAGGCTCCCCCTGACCTGGAAGAAGTTTAACATTCGGATCCATGGGTGTGTCAACTGGCTTGCTATCTGTCATACCTGTTTCTTCAAGGATGTCCAAAGCATATTTCCGTTGTGACATATAAATACCTTGTTTAGATTGGGCCACTTCAATACCAAGGAAATACTTCAACTTTCCAAGATCCTTTGTCTCAAAATGCTGAAACAAATGTCTTTTAAGTTCGTTTATTCCCTCCATATCATCCCCTGTGATAACAATGTCATCAACATATACTACCAGATATATGCTTTTTCCAAATAGGTGTCTATAGAAGACAGAGTGATCAGCTTTGCTTTGATTCATGCCAAATTGTTGGATCACATCACTAAATCTCCCAAACCAAGCACGAGGAGATTGCTTTAAACCATAGAGGGACCGTTTGAGACGACAAACAAGGTTAGTTCCAGTCTTAGCTACAAAGCCAGGGGGCTGCTCCATATACACTTCTTCCTTCAAGTCCCCATGCAAGAAAGCATTTTTGATATCCAACTGATACAGGGACCAGTTACGATTAGCTGCCATTGAGAGGAAGAGACGAATAGATGTGATCTTAGCAACTGGTGAGAAGGTATCTGTGTAGTCAATGCCAAAAATCTGTGTATACCCTTTAGCAACAAGTCGGGCCTTGAGTCTATCAACTTGTCCATTTGGACCAACTTTCACATTATACACCCATCTACAACCAACCACAGTTTTTCCAAGGGGTAAAGGAACTAACTCTCAGGTCCCAGAGGAATGAAGTGCTTCCATTTCATCAATCATTGCTTGCTTCCATCCAGGATGAATTAATGCTTCTTTGACACTTTTTGGAATAGAAACAGTAGATAAACTAGTAATGAAAGCACAATATGATGGAGACAATCTCTTTTGTGTAAGAAAATTATAAATGGGATAAGGATTCCGAGTGGACCTTTTACCTACTCGACTGGCAATGGGAGAGCTTGTTGTGGTGCTTTGGACCGTGTCAGTGGGCAACGTTGATGTGGGACATGAATCAACTAAAGGTCCATCCTCTTGGGAACCTGGACGATTGCGCCGCTGATAGGTGTACAAGAAAGGTGAACTGTGTCCTTCTTGAATGGTTGGCATTGGTATAGTTCTTTCAGGAACAGTAGGGGACACGGGCTCTGTAAAGGTAGGAACAGGGAGAACTTCTGTGACTTCAAGTGGTTCCCCCAAGAAGTCAGATTCATCAACTGAGGTGGAAGAGAAAAAGGGCGTAGTTTCAAAAAAGGTGACATCAAAGGAGGTGTAGAAACGGTGTGTTTTAGGGCAATAACACTTAAAGCCTTTTTGGAGACGGGAATACCCAATGAACACACATTTTATTGCCTTGGCATCAAGTTTGTCACGTCCTGGAGAGCTATCATGGACAAAGCAAGTACTTCCAAAGATCCGTAACGGGAGTTTATAGACAGGTTCCTGTGGAAGTAAAAGATTAAGAGGAATTTTCCCTTGCAACACAGAAGAAGGCATTCGATTTATTAGGTAGCAAGAGTGAAGTATAGCATCCCCCCAAAATTTCTTAGGAACCTTGTGGTGAATGAGCAAGGTGCGGGCTGTGTCAACAAGATGTCGAATTTTTCGTTCAGCAACACCATTTTGTTGAGGAGTCCTAGCACAAGAAGACTCATGCAATATCCCATGTGAGGAGAAGAACGAAGTGAATGAGTCAGAAAAATACTCCTTAGCATTATCACTTCGTAAGACCTTTAGAGATACCCCAAATTGATTCACAATTTCATTGTAGAATTTTTTAAACACATCAAATAGTTCAAAACGATTTTTCATTAAGAAGACCCAACTGCATCGAGAGAAATCATCAATGAAAACAACAAAATATAGGAACCCCAAGGTAGTTGAAACACGACAAGGTCCCCAAACATCAGAATGAACTAAACAAAAAGGTTTATCAGCCCTCCTATTCATTTTACTAGGGTATGAGGCTCTTGAGTGTTTTCCAAGTTGACAAGACTCACATTCTATTTCCTTTAAACTGGACAAACCAGGAACAAGTTGTCTTAATTTATTGATGTTAGGATGCCCAAGGCGACAATGGCTAAGAAAAGGTGAAACAGTAGCGGTGCAAGCTGTGTTGTTATCGGTAGAACCTAGAAGATAGTAGAGCCCTCGTGATTCATGTCCCGTACCAATCGTCTCCCTTGTCTGTCGGTCCTGAATAACCACAGAATTAGAAGAAAAAGTACCCAAGCAATTTAGAGAGTGAGTGAGACGATGGACTGAAATTAAATTGAAAGGACATCTGGGAATGTAAAGAACATTCAATAAAGAGAAAGAATGGATGGAAACTTTCCCAATCCCCTTAGCTTTTCCTTTTGATCCATCACCAAAAGTAACATATGGAAGAGAATCCGAGAACTCAATTTGGGAGAAAAGAGAAGGGTTACCGGATATGTGATCGGTGGCTCCAGAGTCGAGGACCCAAACTGAGTTTGATTGTGAAGCAAGGGCAGTGTGAGAGATATCGGGAGAAATGGTTGTTTTGGCACCCTTTAATTGCAAGAATTCTGCATACTCAGCTTTTGAGATAACTTGTGTGCTTGAGTCTGCAGTATTTGGATTCCCAGATTGAGCTATATTAACCATAGTTGGTTTCCCATGGAGTTTCCAACAAACCTCACGGGTGTGTCCTGGTTTGTTGCAAAAGTCACAAAAACGAGAGGAATTACGTCCTCCACCTCGGCCCCCTCGGTTACTTCCACGACCTCTTCCTCTATGATAGCTTTGAGTAGTAAGAGCAGAGTGATCAACAATGGTTGAGGATGGTGTATTTTCTTTATAAATAGAAGAGACTTGAAGAAGTCTTTTGAACATTTCTTTGGTGTTTGGAACATTTCCATCACCACCATTACGGACTTGCTCAAATTCTGGTTCAAGCTTGGCAAGGGTAAGGACAACAAAGAACTTGTCACGTTGAGTAAGTTGCTCTTCTGGTGATCCCCCAATAGGCATGAGCTTGTTAAATTCAGCCATAAGTCCTTGGATTTTTCCCAGAAATTTCTCCATTGACATCTCTGATTTTTTGATATTTAGTATCTCACTAACAATGAAATAAAAACGAGAGATATCATTTGTATAAAGGGATTGAGCTTGTTTCCATACTGAAAAACAGGTTTTAAATGGTCTAAACATAGGAATCAGGTCAGGGGCAAGAGACTGCCATAATAGACTGCAGAGTTGGGCATCAACTCTCTCCCAAATATCTTTTTCATGCTGAATCTGTTCTGCTATAGTAGTGAGATGGTCAACAACTCCTTGACCCATAAACCATAGTTCAACTGCTGATGCCCAATCTTGATAATTTTGGGAACCAATGAGTTTCTCACTGGTGATAGTTATGCTCCCTGAAAGATTTGGAACATAGACTCTAGGCTGAACAGGAAGGATAGTATTTTGGGTACTGTTTATGATTACCTCTTCTGCCATACTGATCAGAAAAATGTGAGAAAAACAGTGTAGGCAGTGAGCGGTTGCAGCACCAGTTATGCCAAAGGAGCTCTCAGGAAAAAAAAAGGAATATTTTAGAAGAAGTAGGCAGTGAGTAGTTGCTGTGAAGGAGAGAAGATTTTCAGGCCACAAGAGGATGGCTCTGATACCATGTTGAAAAGGAAGCTAAAAGGAACCTGAACATCTTCTTGTTATTCCATCTTACCAAGAACAACACATTACAGGACATTATATAGGAAGATAACAAGTATTGGGAAGGGACATAAAGGGTCTTCCCAAGGAAAAACTATTCAACTCCCAAAGACTTAAAAACATAATAAATAACCCTGCAGAATAGGCTGCTCATATTCCAAGATAGGCTGCTCATATTCCAACAGATATAATTTCTAATGTTATTTGGGATAGGTTCTAAATTACATTTCTTGGTAATATTATTCAGCATAGTTAATAAATTACTTTTATGATATTACTCATTTTAATTTCTTAAGTACATATCTTTCTAATGTTATTCTGCTTAATTCTGATGTGGATCAACTATTGACAACTCAGTTTGGAAATGTAAAATAGGGAAAATCCTGCTTCTATAAATCCATGTTGACATTTGGATCATAATATAATCCTTTTCTGGTTGCTGAATTGTGATAAGCAATCTGGGAATATGTTGTGTCAATGCTATGCAAGGAGCCAAGGACAGTAGTGTGCTTTGGTAGTAGTTATTGGGTTTGGTTAGATATGTTCTTATATTTGAAAGCTTATCAGTACTTTCCTCTATTCCTGAGATTAATTCATGTGAATTTCAATGTAAATCAGAAACTTCACTTGTTCCCAGATGAAATGCCAGATAAAAAGTAATATTGACTTGTGCCAGCATAGAGTCTGCATATAGTGGTTTGGAAATGATAGCTATAGTAGGTAAAAGAAAATGCCATAAGCATTTTGTTGTTCCTTCTGGTTGAGTTTTTTTTAGGTAATTCTGGCAAATGTTTCGTTTCGTTGGTGACTCCTTTAACCTTCATTGTACTTTGTCCCTTGTAAATCCATAGATCTTTGTTGTTTTAAATGTGTTTTTGATATCTATGCACTCTATTGGCATGGATTGTCTTGATGTAACAAATGAACACGGATTGTCCTTATGTGTCTCATATGAATGAATTTAAGCTTTTGCTATCTCTCAGTAGAGGCGGTGTTGACACTTTGTGCTTCAATAGGTTGAGAAAGTATAGATGAATAGATACTACAATGTAATAGAGTCAGTAGCTTTAAAAAAAAAAGCTTTTGCTATCTTTGAAGCACTTTTCTCATTTCATCTCATTCCAGGTAGTGCTTCTGGTGCTTGATGTGCATGCATGTGTTGCTAAAGATCCACAACACTTCCGTCAACTTGTAGTTTTCTTGGTCCATAATTTTCGAATTGATCATTCTCTCCTGGAGAAGTGAGTGTGTGCTGAACTTTAGCAGCCTAATGTTTCTAGTGTGTGTATCCAGTATATCGTGTTGGCATCTTATTTTCTAAATTTCGATCCAGACGTGGTGCTTTGATAGTTCGAAGACTCTGTGTGCTTCTGGATGCTGAAAGAGTTTATAGGGAACTTTCTACAATACTTGAGGGGGATTCAGATTTGGATTTTGCATCGATGATGGTTCAGGTTTTTCTATTTTACAAGACACTTTAGTGATGATTATTGTAATGTGCTTGTATTTGTATGGAAGTTCCCTTTTTTTTTTGGGCGTAATTTATTTATTATGTTAATTTTTTTATCTGTTTCAGGCTTTGAACATGATTTTGCTTACTTCATCTGAATTGTCTGGCCTCCGTGATCTTCTTAAACAATCATTGGTGAATGGTACTGGGAAAGATCTTTTTCTTTCTTTGTATGCTTCATGGTGTCATTCTCCAATGGCCATAATAAGCCTCTGCTTCTTAGCACAAGTATGTAACTCTGGAGGATCATTTTCGAATGATTTCCCTTCTTGGGGTTTTGTTCTTTCCACGGTTTTCTTCTCTAACAATTTTTCTCCTTATGTTTGCTGCTTTTGGAACTGCTTTACAGGCATATCAGCATGCTAGTTCTCTCATTCAATCTCTGGTCGAGGAGGACATCAATGTGAAGTTTTTGGTTCAACTTGACAAGTTTATCAACCTTCTGGAGACTCCCACGTTTGCGTACTTGAGGCTGCAGGTGCCTTAGTTTTCTCCTAGAAATGTTTGTTTGTGAGCAATTTTTCACCGGCTTTTTTGTATTTTTGCATTTTTAAATTCTTTTTCGATTGTTTTTTGGTAAGTTTATAGAAAATCACCAAGGGGGGGTGCAACCCAAGACATGCCCTTGCCCTTAAAAGAAAGACTGGTCACCGTATTCATAACCCTTGTAGATATAGTTCATAGGAAAATATTACATGTACTCCCATTCTCTACTCCCACACTTAAAACATTTGATGTAGACACTTTTATAGGGGCCCACATGAAGAAAATGACCTATCAGAGCCCGTCACATCAGGGAGTAAATTTGATGGAGTGTAAGATTTCGGAGTACATGTAGTAGAACTCTAGTTCATATGGGCCCTGTTTGGTAAATGGCTGTTAGCTGATTGGGTTAATTAGAGAGTATAACTAGTTGATAACATTAGTTGATTGTAGAAAAGTGTTTGGTAAATTAGCTGTTAGCTGATAGCTGTTTGGTATAACTTCTTTTCTCAAAAAGCTAATTGAAAAAGTTGCTTTGAGTAACTTTTTGAATTTTAGCATTTTGGAGTACAAAAAGCTAATTAACCAAACACTTATATTGATTTTTAAACCAAGTCAAACAACTAATAGTGGTCAAATAAGCTAAAATTGGCCTATAGGCTAACTATTTTGCCAAACAGGGCCCATCCGAGGACTTGTGCATAGTCTCCTACGGGGAATTCTCTCCCCTTCCACAGTTCCACCTAACCTACTTTTGAGCTATCGGAAGTTAAAGACTTTGGGATGTGATGCATTGCTATGTTAATTTAGTTATTATGTTAAATGGTCAAATATGCTCTCCTACTTTTAGCAAAATTGCATTTGGGCACCTCAACTAATAAAATGCGATTAAGTGTTTGAACTTCTAATTTCTTATAATATTAACAAATTTGGGCAATTAGGTTCCAATATTGACAAATGGATAATGAGCCATTTAAATATATCGACAGTTCCTTGACTTCCTTCTAGCAAGATTAAAACTTAATTGCCAAGTCGATATATTTAAATTGATTTTTATCCATCTGTTAACTTTAAAACCTAATTTGCTTGAATTTGAAGGTTCGTAATGATTATCGCACAAAATTGGAATTTCAAAGAGCCTGAATTGCACTATTTTTAGTTGAGAAGCCGAGTTGCATTTTGACTAATAAAAGTAGGATGGCGTATTTTACCCTTTTCCTTAACTTATAAAATAAATGTGAACTTTAACGTCCATGCACTTCACTTTATCATTAAGAACTTTACTATGTTGGGTATAAACTTGCCATTTTCCTTCACTTCCCAAAGCCTCCGAAAGAATAGTATTTAATTGTTGTACTCAACATGTATATCTTATGTAATTTATTTACTCTGTACTATTTTGCTGGAGGAATATTAGTGGTTTCGTTTTCAGATTTTAGGAGTTGTAATGTGTGCAAATTGCTGTTCTGTTAGTCTGTTAGCGTGGTCATCTTCACTAATAAAATTGGTGTAAATCATATTCGTCACTGTTTTCTTCAGCTTCTTGAACCTGGAAGATACATCTGGTTGTTAAAAGCCTTGTATGGTTTGCTGATGCTGCTACCCCAGGTGTGTTATGGAGTATTCTGTTGATATATACATACATATGTGGTGTGTATTTTTATATATTTATTTTTCTTCTTGTCTCACTAAAACGGATTCTGTATCCATAAAAAATAAAACAAATTTGTTGAATATTCATAAATGTGATTAGTGAAGTCTTGGAGATTGTATAGAATGACAAATAACTGCTTATGATTTTTTTTTTTTTAAAAAGGAAGAACGATAATAGAAATTGTGTAACTGTTCCCTTGTTTTTTTTGGTTAATCAAGAAATAACAGTTTGAAATTTATTTAAATGCTCTCTCCGTCTCACTTTATGCTTTTAGTTTAAACAGCAAGGACAAGGACTAATTAATTTTTTTTTTTCTACTCGAGCTTTGATGAACGATATTAAAAACATAATAAAGCACATGTTTTCATATTTTTAAAATGGCAAATTCTCCTGTGAGAGTCTCACGGATCTCAATCAGTGAGATGGGTCGGGTTAGGAGAATTTGGATCTTATGGTATATGGATTTAGACATTTAGTAATATTATTTCCTACAAACTGTTAACTGTCTATTATAGTTTTGCTATAAAGTACGGAGTATTACATTTATACTATAAAGGATTATATATATGGCTTAACGTATTGATTATATTTGTAATTATGCTATGTAATGACACTATTTCATGCAAATTGTCTATTATAGTTTTCCTTTAGGGGCCATTTTGTTCACAGAATGTTAGATTACCTTAGGGAATGTGAGATTGCTGGGAATGTTACATTCCTGTGTTTGGTTTAGGGGGTTATGTTTTTATGTTATAGTACTTTAATTCTGTTATGTTATTACTTTATATTTCTTGCAAATTGTCTATTATTTTGAAGTACTACATTTATGATATAAAGTATTGATTATATTTGCAATTCTGTTATGACTTATTTTTATTAGATCTGTCCCGTCTCACGGGAGACCAACCCTTTAAAAATATATATAGAAGAAAATAGCATGACCAAATGAAAAATTTTGTTGACCCAAATGTAGTGGAAAAATAAACTGTGATAGAGAGTAAATATTATTGTGCCTTAATAGGAACGAGGTCCAGTACAATTATGAGAATGCAACTTTGATGTAATTCTGATAGTTGGTGTCTTTCTGAGTACTGAGTTTCTATACTTTCCTATTTGTGCAGCAAAGTGCAGCCTTCAAAATTCTTCGGACCCGGTTGAAAACTGTGCCTGCATACTCTTTTAGTGGGGATCAACTTAGCCAAGCATCATCGGGGAATCCTTATTTTCAGACTAGTCATTCAAGGGGCGACTCACGCACTTCAATTGATGGTAATTTTAGTGAAGATTCAAACGATATGCACAACGGAATAAATTTCTCCACAAGGCTGCAGCTGTTTGAACACATCCAACATATGCACCGTATGCATTCGAAGTCACAGGAGTCGTTCTCACGTTGCAGTCCTAATTCATCGTCAAAGGTTTGTTATACTTGATTGTGGCTATTTAACAATGGATCTAAATTTCTCGAAATTTGGCTAGTTTTTTGCGGTTAATTATGTTGGTTACTAAAGCAAATTGTTTGAAGCCATAGTTATTCATTCTTTCCAAAAGGTTGAACCCCAACCCTAAGGGCCCCCCACACCCCGGTCCGACAGAGCATCTGGGAGGATGTAAATCATGAACCACAGAGGCTAGACCTTTGCTTACTGCGCACAAGGAGCCTCCCTCACTTTGAGAGGTTGCTCCCACACTGCCGCTGGTGAGACTCGATTCCTGGTCATTCTTTCCAACTTTCACCTCTATGACCAGTTGAGCTGCCCATGCGGGCAAGCCATAGTTATTCATAGATAGCTATATGTAGTCATCCCTGATATACTATTCTGGTAACATGTCACCATAGTTACTGTCCTAAATCTCGATCGTACTATCAGTGGCTTCCCTAACATGTGTTTTGTTCTCAAATCAGAACGCCAATTCTGTTCAGGAGTTGCAAGGGACTGAAGACTCCAAACGACCTGACCCAAAGCCAGACTTGAATGGGCCGTCATCAAGATCGTCACGCAAAGGCCCTGGACAGTTGCTGATTTGATTGCTTTGCTTTTGCTTGCTTGCACTCCTGATGGGAGGAGGGAGGAGGTCCAATTATACAAAAATTTTGGGGTATTCCAATTGAGTTTTGGTATAATTTGTAAATTGTATATCCTGACATTTGTCTTTTTGAACTTATGGAAGGTTGAAATGGTGGGGAAATCATCAGGTATTGGTTATATAGAATTGTTCCCAAGCTATTTTTTTTTAAAATTTATTATTTTTCCCTAGTGAACAAGTAAGCTCATGTGGTTATGTTATTTTTATTGAAAACCATATGGGCAGTAGGTAGTTGTGTAGGACATTACATCCAAGTTTGTTTTATTCATAATTCTTATATTTCAATGGTTTAGAATAAAAGTTTATGTGTATCATAATCCCCTTTATTCTGAAGAATTGCCTTCTTCATTCAGGCAATTTGCCGTTTTTAGCTGTTTTTCTTGGGTGTATCCAGGCTTCCACCGTTGGACCCAATGATTAATTCTCTCGCTGAATTGTAGGCACCTCTTTTGAGTGAGACAGTTGGCCTGGTGATTTAAAGCTGCTCCAAGATAATTAAGGTTGTCATGGCACATGAGTCGGGTTGGATTGGGTTCATGATATTTTGATTGATTTTTTTTTTTTTTGAGTACATATTTTGATTGATTTAGTTTATCTGTATTTTAACATTTTTTTTCCATAAAATTAAAATAAAAATTAGTTTTTTTTTTCCATAAAATTAAAAATAAAAATTAGCCCATGCCCATCAACGGAAGGAAAATATGTAAAGGACGTTTGGGACTTGCGTTTTAAGTCTGCCCCCAATGTCCTCGTCTGTATAATTTTTTTTATAGAAATAATATCAAATGCAAGTACGACTTGCGTTTGAAGTATTGTATACCTCAGTTGCATTTCCTAAATGTGTTTGAGGTATACTTGTAGTATACAGTAAAACGCATCTCGCAAATGAAATGATGAAAGGGAAAATGGAAGAGGGGTAACCAATGCATCTTCGTCAAGCACGAAATCGGCGGGAGGTTTTGACAGCAGCAGTGGGTGGTAACGTTCGGAAGATGCCGCCCCTCTTTCGTAAAATTCGAGCTCAACATCTTCGTCAATCACCTCGGCTTCCAGAGCAGTACTACTACTGGACCTCTTATTTTTCTTTGTTTTGGAATTTGTTCTCTTCTTCACCGGTGTCCGTATATACTCATGTCCGGCGGCGTATCGGTATCTTAAACGCATGCGGCAGTTGCGTTTAACGTATACAACGTTGAACGCATTTGCGAGGTGCGTTTTACTGTATACTACAAGTATACGTTAGACGCATTTAGGAAATGCATTTGAGGTATACGATACCTCAAACGCAAGCTGTACTTGCGTTTGAGATTATTTTTTTAAAAAAAAATTATACGGACGAGGACATTTGGGATAGACCTAAAACGCAAGTCTCAAACGTCCTTTACAACAGATGAAAAGGAAAGAAAAGGAAAAAAAAAAAGAAAAAGAAAATGAAAGAATTACAAAAGATGAGAGAAAAGAAAATAAATGGAAAGAAAACAAAAGAAAAGAAGAGAGAGAAAGAAAAGTACTCTGCTTGAAGGCAATGATGGCTTGGCATTTGTCAGGACTAACCTCAACAACGCAGGTGTCAGCGGTACAAGAGGCACCCTAGTCCGGGCTGAACGGTGGCTGGGCAGGATTTATCAAATCCGTTGACCTAGTCAGGCTTGCTGGCCAATAATAGCTGAGTCCCTTCTAGGCTCCGGGTGGGGCAGGTCATATATGATTGGGGTTGCCTTGTTTTTCGTGTCTGCCTGGTATTTCCTTATACACTGGCTATTGAAACATGATTATGAGCTGTATTGGTTTAGGAAATGTGGCGTTGCTTGTTCTGTCACGTTTTCGTTTTGCAAGTCTTTCCTTGGCTTCTGAGGTATTGCTGGTCTTAAGCTTGTTTGGTTTTGCCCTTGTGGGTTTCTTTAAATAGACCACGCCTCAACGTTGGTGCAAGCGGTAAGAAATTGCATCCTAGCCTGGGCTGAACGGTGACCGGGTAGAGATTTATCAAATCCGTTGGCGGTTTGTCTAGGCTTGCTGCTGGCCCATAGTAGCTAATCCCGTTAGGGTTCTGGTTACTAAGATATTGGTGCTACTTGGGTGGACTGATGATATTGGCTGGCCTATATGTGGCCTGTGTGCTTTATTTGGTGGCTTGCGTGCCATTTATTAGTTTTTTGGGCCTGCGTGCCTCCTTTGTGGTTTGTTTGCCTTGTGCTGATAGTTGGGCAACTGTTGTTGTGTATTTCCGCCCTTGTGAGATAGCCCCAGCAGCCATTATGCTGCCGGATATCTTACAAAATGGGCTAGCAATCTTGGAGGTTTTGGCTAGCAAATAGATTTATTTTGACGGGACATGGGCGTGAAGCGTTGCGACCGTGTCGGCACTGTTGCATCGTTTCATTGTGGTGCAGAGTCGCGGCATTGCAACTTTGTGGTGGTGCGGCATGGTGGCGCACTAGTACATGATGGCACGCAGGTACAACTATTCTCCTAGAAACAGCCGTTGTGCTGCTGGTTTTTGCGAAAATTGGTGCGACGCCGATAGGGGGATTCTGCGCCTCCATTTCAGCACCCCTTTTATTTATTTATTTATTTTTCTTCATTTATTATTCCTTTGATCTGGCCTATTAGTTGGGCTTGGGTCTATTATTTTATTCTTTCATTCTTTAGGCTTGGCCTGTTAAGGCTGGGTCCATCCTTTATTTTAGTTTCTTTATATTAGTATAGGCTCAATCTCAAGGGCTGAGTATGTGTTATGGTCACGTTTGGACCATCAGTTGTAAGACTTTTTAATTCCTTTGCTTAATAAAGTATATATATATATATATATATATATAACTTTTTGATTAAAAAAAAAACGTCCTTTACATATTTTTGTCAAAAAATATACAGACACACATTTTGAGAAATGCATGTTCCCATATACACATTTCAGTCATTTACTATATGTTCATAATTACTGAGCTATATGTTCATAATTATAAAACTATATATTCATAATTTTTGAACTTCATATTCAAAATTATTGAATCTCTATATTCATAATTACAGAACTATATGTTTATAATTATGTTCACAACTTTATATCCATAATTATGAACAGTTTTGGAACTGTGTCCACCTTGCAAAGTAGACACGGTTCTACAGCATAATTTGCCTCAAATAAGGGGTTGGAATGGACTAAACCTCTCCAACCCCTTAACCCAAACAAGATAACTAAAAATAGAAAATGGTGCTAGTGAACATAATTTCTAAATTGAGAAAACATAGAATGAAAATAGAGAAATGAAATATCAAGAAAAGAAAAACAGAGAATTGAAAGAAATACAAAGCGTCTATACTACATAAATTTAGATCAATCAACATCGATAATATTTCACAAAAGAAAAATTAGGTACAACATAATACAAAAGGTGATTGTCTTCAAATAATAAGTATCCTTTCAAAAAAAATAATAATAAGTAAGTATTAAATACAACACTATTGAATTTTTTTTTTTTATTGACTTAAGTACCTAACTAACAAGTCATCAAATTTTCATTAAATATAAAAATTGATGTATTTCTACAATTTATTCTTTTCATATTTGATTCAACAATCAAATCCAAAGTTATAGTTGTTGGGATGATGGAGAAATAGCTGAATATAGCACTCACTTCCATCATCTAGAAATCTTTTACTTCCAATCATGAAAAATAAAGGATTTGAGTGGGCAATTCACTTCAGATACCCCCTCTCCTCCCCCCACCCCCCCCCCCCCCCCCCAAAAAAAAAAGAAAAAAAAAAAGAAAAAAGTAATGAGTAGTAAGGAAATGAATAAAGAAAAGGATGGAGTGATTGGTGGAGTGGAGAGACATGGTGAAAATGACAGCCATTTCTTCACAATATCATACTACCATGGAGCCCTAATGGTATTCCTTCTTTCATTCTCAATCCTTCATCTTCTTCATCACAATGAAGATGCATTAATAACTTCAATTCCAATTAAATTCAAATAATATAAATATACTATATATATTGCATCAATATATAGGCCCTGTTTGATAACATATTTAGCTTATCAGTCAATTTTAACTTATTTGACCACTATTAGTTGTTTGACTTGGTTAAACAATCAGTATGCGTGTTTGTTTAATTAGCTTTTTGTAACAATTTATTGCTCCAAAATGCTAAAATTCAAAAAGATGCTCGAAGCAGTTTTTTCGATCAGCATTTTGAAAAAGTCATTTTGCATGTAATCAACTATCAACTAACAGCTAATTTACCAAACACTTTTCTACAATCAGCTAATTGCTATCAACTAATCAAACTCACTAACCCAATTAGCTAACAACTATTTACCAAACACCCCGTAGTTGAATCATTGACTTAACTTAACCCAAAAAGTCTCATAATTTTTCTTGAACTTTCAAGTTAAAATCAGGTCTCGATCTAATTTCTTCGCATTAGCTATGCTCATGAATACCTTTAGAGGTTGTATTGGATCCCTAGGATCATTAACATTCACCAACACTCTACATAACAAATCTAATTACGGTCTAAAAAATTATATATATAATTTTTTCTCTCGAAATTTCATGTAAAAGTCACCAAATTTAATTATATTTTTATTCCTTTTTCTTATATTATATTAATCATGATTACGTTAGACCAAGAAACTAAACTAAAATGATATTATTATATACTATACGTCTATACTTCTTATGTATTGTCTCTTTCACCCAATATATTATTGGCAATTATTGATCATCATATAGAAGGCTAATGGTGGACCTCATCATCATCCACACATTCTTCTCTTTTTTTTTTCTTTTTTTATTTTTTTATTTTTTTATTTTTTATTTTTTACGTAATCCAATATACTTCCGTATTATTTAAATTTGCAATCAAATTATTAAATCTAACTTGTATCAAATTAAAATTTAAATCCTACTTTACTGTAAAATAGTTGACCACACTCCTCGATCTCCCTGTATTCTTATATATAACTATAATTTCTATTGTTAATTTATCCACTTTCTCTGAAAGTTTTGATAATCAGAAATAAAAATAAAAATAAAAATAAAGAGCAAATTGTCGACATTCATAACAGTGAAGAGCTCATTCATAGTCATCAAGCTTATCAGTAAAGTGGGAGCATCTCTAGAGGTGTGGGAGCGTGCAAATTTTTATGTGGACCATAACAAAAAGTACATTTTTAATATACTAAATGTACATTATTTTTGTACTGAATGTACATTATACAATATAATATACACTTATTACAAAAATAATATACATCTCCTGAATATAATGTACATTATTTTTGTGTTGAATGTACATTATTTTATAGTAT